GTTTTACAGCTTCGGAGTCCGAAGCTTTGCAGCTCAAGCCTCAGGTAGGGTTTAGGGTTCATGAGGGTTTCGGGTTTCGGGTTTAGGGTAAAGGGACCTTGAGCTTCCCATCAATTCCTTTCTTGAGTTGGTTCATGTACCTTGGATCCACTGCCATCAGCGGGGCTTAGATGTTCTGCTAGCCTCTGCACGACCTTTGCACAGCCATCTCCTCTGCTCTGTCAGCAACTGCCATCTCCGGGGCTTCGGAGAGTCTTCGAGCTTGGGGTTTAGAGCGTCGGAGCTGGAGCTTGGACTATAAGCAACTGGCACCTCTCAGAGATGCTGGCGGAGGGGACTGCAACGGCTTTACGGCTTCCTTTCAAGCCCACCTTTTCTTTTGGCGGTCAGCCGATAGAGCCGAAGAAAAAAAGTCAAGCACAAGGTGAGTAAGCAAGGCACCGTCCGAAATCTCTGCGCCCCAAACATGGAAGTTATCAAAGACAGGAAACTCTGGTCTCTCAAGCCCCAACTCCTGACCTTCCGCATCCCAAAATCCCAAGCTTCTAAAGCTTGAGGGTAGGGTTTAGGAATCAGGGACTTAGGGTTTAGGGCTTTAGGGGTTTATGGCTTTAGGGCTTTTGGGTTGAAGGCTCAACTTGCGGAGGTCGAACCCCTCGGCCCTGCCCCGCGCCTGTCTGCCAGGGGTCGGTCGAACGGTTATGGCCTTGGCATCTGGATGCAGATTCGGATCGCAAGCGAACAAGCTTCAGATCATGGTTTAGGGCTAAGGTTTTTTTTTTGAGCACCTTTTTCCGCCTTACCAATCCCAGCTCAGCAGAATCCACATTGTGGAAGGCTCCAGGGCTAAGGGTTTAGGGTTCAGGGTTTAGGGCTTCAGATCATGGAAACACAGGTAGGGCAACGCTACTGTTGATGCCCCGGACAAGGCCGACCTCACTGACCACTGAAAGTCTCTCTTGGCTTCGTCCTGATAGCAAAACTCGAAGTCGCCAACGCAGAATCCTGAAGCTTTGTCGCAGGGGCTCCGGCTTTGACTCAAGCTAAACATGCATCAACCCTGGCCACCATTGTCTCGGGGTCGTGAGCTGAGCTCCTTTTGCAGCGCCCTTGGGCAGCTTTTCGGATGTAAACGTCCACGCGTCTCGGCAGAGGAAAACCTTATGCAGTCCTCTGAGGAGCCTCATCCTCCCCCTTCATACCAGGTCTTAGAGGGTCTATTTGTTGAAAGGGGCGTTTACAATATTTGGAAAACCCTTTTAAGAGCCTTACAGACCCCTACGGGGTGAAATCCCAGGGCCTTCCTCTTTCATCTTTCCCTGCAGGGTCGGCGGACTCCCCGGGCTGCTCGTCTTCCTTCCTACATGCGGAGGCCTGGAGGGGTTCCAAGGGCCCTTGTCTCCTGTCTGCCCCACCCCGAGCACTCCAAAACCTGAACAAAAAAAAGTCCGGGAAACTTCAAACTCAAAGCCCCAAAAACCCTACACCTTGTAACCCCTTACACTCTAGATCCCGGGTCCAATCTCACCAAAGCTCCTGATCTGATCCCGTGACCCCAAACCCCGAAACCCAAAACCTCACTGAGGCCCCCGACCCCGAGACCCTGTACTTCGCCTTGGTCTACGAGAGCCTGCGCCTGCTCGGAGGATCGTGGGACTTAGTAAGGAAGGTTCTAAGTCCTGTAGCTGGGGTTTGTAAGTAATAAGGAATTATACGCATAGCTACCTTGTTTAGTCCCCTGATCCTGTAAGTGCAGGGCTCTTCGAGGGCGAGGCCCCGCTTAGATTCCGATCTTAACTTGGTGGGGTTTGGCATTGTAGCTTTGGCTTTTGGGGCTTGAGAGCATCGGGTTGTAGGATCTATAGGAACCCAGAAGTTAAAGGCTGGGCGGTTCAGGGACGTAAGGCCTTATGAAAGGTTGAAACAAGGCTAAACCCTAAAACCTAAACCCTAAGCTTAAGGCCTTCGGGAGTTTACGCTAAGGCGAGCTTGAGATGGCAGGATTCTCCCTGCGGTCGAGACCTTGAGAGAGCCGCTCGATGCAGAAGCCCGCAAGCAACTTGCCCAGCAGTCTCAATTGCCCGTTAGTATGTATGTATGTATATGTATGTATACATATATATATGTATGTATGTATATATATATATGTATATATATATATAGGTATGTGATGTGCTTAAAATATGACTACAATGTAACTGTATTCCTTGTATTCCAAATAATTCAGGGTTGAACGCAGATGCCTTCGTTGAGAGGTTTCGGAGCCTCTGCGTTTAGCGTGGTCGCCTCCTCAGGCACGTGGATTCTGTAGTTGAGCCTAAGCTCACAATGGGTTGCAAGGGAAGCAGTTCGACCTTCATGGCAATGTGGAACTCTCTGAATATCTAAAGTGCAACGTCTGAGTTTTGCCTTCGAATCCATACCCTTACACCCTCAACCCTAAACCCTAAACCCTCGGCCCTAAGCCCTAAACCCGAAGCCTAAACCCAAAGCCCTAAACCCTAAAACCTGAACCCTAAACCCTTAAGAACCCCTACACCCTAAACGTTTCAGCCCAACAGTCTCAGCCCTTGCTGCCTTCACCCGAACACTATGGACTGTCAACGCTCGCCCCCCACATTTTCTGAGAATAGCCATGGTTTAGGGTTTAGGGTTTAGGGTTGAGGGTTTAGGGTTTAGTGTTTAGGGTTTGGGTTCAGGTCCTAAAGGATCAAGACTCCGAAATCCATCCTCGACATGTTGGTGGGAAAAAGTGGCCCCTGGCCTCTTCAAAGGTGCGTTTGGGCACATCGAAAGACCCTCTGAGAAGTGGAAACACGACCTGGAGTTGCATTCGCTTAAGGTTTAGGGTCAGTGTCAGCCATCAGGGTTTAGGGTTTAGGTGGTAATATGAACGAGGCAACCATTCCTCATGCCGACTCAGGTAATTACTGAGAAGCATAACAGGTCCAATGACCACAGGATCTTCCACTGCAACGACGATAAGAATGCGGTTTCTCAGGTAGGACACCAAGTAAAACTCCTTTAAAACTCCTTGAACTGAACACACTCGTCATATATGACTAGTCTATCAGTGCTCGTATAGCGAAAAGCCAACACCTCCTAAAATAAAACATGCTATGGGTAGTTCGTCCCGGAGATGAATCCTTCCCTCTGAGGGCTTTCATTTTCAACGAGTCCGAACAGCGAGTCCGAAAGAAGCCAGGAACCCGAATGATCCCAAAACACTCATGGGACCTGGAGAACCCCTGAAACCCTAACTCGGAAACTCTAACACCGAAACTCCGAGGCTTTAGGGGTTTAGGGGTTTGAGGGTTTAGGGGTTTAGGGGTTTAGGGGTTTGGGGGGTTTAGGGGTTTTAGGGGTTTAGGGGTTTAGGGGTTTGGGGGCTTTAGGGGTTTAGGGGTTTAGGGTTTTGGGGGTTCAGGATTTGGTGAGGGTTTATAGGGGCCTCGAAAGCTGCGAGGGGGGGTTGTGCTCCAGCATACAAAAAGCTCGGCCACGGACTTGGTTCCGGAGGGGCACCAGAACCAGTTTCAACTGCTGGCCCTGGACATCTACGGAACTCGAACCCTAAAGGAATTGAGGCTTTTTGGCTTCAGGGTTTAGGTGAAGGAACCAAAAAGTCGACTTGAAGCCCTTACGGTTCACGGTTTTTTGGATTTAGGGTCAAAACTTTCAGGGCTTGGGATCTTCGACTTTTTGTTTGAAGCCCCTTTTCGTCCTTGCAGCAAGCCGTCGCGGGGACTTCGAGTTTGGAGTTTAGGGGTTAGAAGCTTTTCCCCAAAATCCCGACTCGGAGAATCGTTGAAACCCGGCCCTGAAGTGGCCTCTCAGGTGACTCCGAATCCCCGAATCCTTCCGAATCACCTAGTTGTCCGAGGTTCTTCCGGAAACGAAGGGGTAACCTTCAGTTCTATGATAAGTAGGACAGTAGGACTTCTCAAACCCCAGGTAGTGAAAGGTTACTCACTCTACTCTTAAGGAAATCCTACTACGACCCAGGCCCAGGCCCATCAGAAAGAACGCACACCCCGCTGTGGGCCTCTTGGTTGGGCGCCATATTCACCTCACAACGCTTGGTCTAGGGTTTAGGGCTCTTTTTAAAGGGTTTAGGGCCGGAGATCGGCTTGATGATATAGGTTCCTAGGGCTTCATTATATAATCTATCATACTGTATTATGCTATATTGCGGCTTTTGGAGGAGTTCAGGCTCGGAGTGGGCGCGCCTGAACTTGGCCAGCACGAGGGCCAATCGCATTCTTCTGCTTTCGCTTGAACCCATAGGACGAAAGACTCTCATGACACAGAAACGCATGGCCTGCAGTCACTGTTCAAGACAACTCAATGGCCACTGCGACAGAATCACGACTCTACCTTGCAAAGGTTCCTTGCTCTCCGATTTAAAGGGTCATGATGAGTCATGGGACTTTAAGGTTTTGTTAGGGTAACTATACATATACCTACTCCGCAATCACGGTACTTATAACCATACTCACTAAGTCCCATGATCCTAAACCCTAAACCCGCACTTCTTTTGAGCATGCAGGACATCTCGTCGGAAGCCTCAAGATGCTCCAAAGGGGCACATGCGGGCAGCACGCTCGACTCACTGGAAAAGGCAGCAACTTCACAGAAGGTTGCAAGGCTAGAGTTTCGGGTTTAGGCTCTAGGGTTTGGGGGTTCAGAGTTTAGGGTTTAGGGTTTCGGGGTTTAGGATTTAGGGTTTGGGTGTTCAGAGTTTAGGGTTGGGGCTTAAGGCGTCGGGGCTAGAATGCTACAACGTGGCGCCGGCAAAGCTTTGTTAGCAAGGCACATCCACGCACATGCAGGGAGCTCGGGTCGCAGCTCTGAGCTCCTGAATCCGTCGATCATCTTATGTTATATTGAGATTTATTATGTTTTATCATATTAAACCATAGCCTGTTATGCTGCAGTATATCATGTTATATTATACTACAGCGAGTCAGAGACTCATCATGGCCACAGTATCTTTGACTTTAGGCATCATGCTTGGTATCCGTGAGAGTCTGCTGCAGGATCCAATAGATCATTCCGATGGCATAGGTCCCCAAGGGAGCCGCATAGGCAGTGGCAAACTGCCAAGAGAAAGGCACTCCGAGGAACTTCAGCTGTCGCGGATGCAGCCGTTCATAGTCCAAGAACTCATTCACCCACTGGGTTGCTTCCGGCGACCGCTCCATCCTCCCTCTTTTCAATGCGACCCTGCGCCCGGAAGGTGATCTGAAAGGTGACCCCGGTGACTCGCCACCACTTGCTGGCTCGTGCGTTGGCGTCGCTTCAATCTCCTGGAGGCCAGCCCCCAACTCCACGTTCACAGTATTGCCCAGGTATGCGAAAAGCACGACCATCAGGCCGAGCAATACACCAAATGCTGCGGCATAGCACATGATGTCAAAGTCGTGTCCAGTATCGAGCAGGACAGCTAGGCCAGTCAACACCACCATCACGATTTCTGCGATCCCGCAAAGCACCAAGATCAACAACCTCTTGGAAACAGCGCGATTAATGTCTGAAAAGATCAACGCCCGAGTCTCAAACCACCAGCCCAGTGACAGATCCGGCTTGAGCTTGTCCGGAAATGCATATGCTCCAATATACTTCAACCGCCGCTTGTGAACGATTCTCGTACGGATTCGGTGTAGCCTGTGCCTTGGATCAGTCTCCACAACACAGCACCTCCGAATTCTGCACCCGGTCCCAGGAATCAATCCCTCCATGAAGGAATTACTGTGCGAGAGGCCGAGCAAGGCTTGCTGCAGACCTCGTGACTAAACGCTCCAAAATACTGGCATGCCCTCAGCCTGAAACACAGAAAGCAAACACCTGAACTGCCTGCCGGACAGAAATTCGCCTCCCTCTGAGGCAGCTGCAGGATGATGGCCTGAAGCTTCGGGCTGTTGTGGTCGTGAAGATGCAGGAGAGATCGGAGCTCCCGCAAAGAATTTGCTGCAGCATGAAGTTGGTAGCATCCAATGAAGACAAATATCATGCAGCCGCAGTAGAAGAACGTTGAGTCCCAAACAGCAATAATGCTCCCCACAGTGGTTTTGGCATTGAGGCACTCGAAACCTTCTTTCAGCACGGCTCCTGTCGCTGTCCAATAGTTCGTGCTGTTCAAAGCCGAACCATGTTGGCTTGCCTTGCTGCTCGTCGCAGCAGTCTTGTTATGCATCCAAACTTGTATCAAATCTGGCAGCATGAGGAACACTAGGCTCCCGTACTGCACAGGAACTGACACAAGCGAAGAGTTGCGAGACCAGGCAATCATCCCCAGCGTTGCACAAGCCGGCACCAAAAAAAAGAGCAGATTCTTGCACCACTGCCGGCGACGCTGTGCAAACCTGTCTGCCGAAAGGAGAACCTTCTTGTTGAACACGAATAGCAAAAAAGGATCGGAATTCTCCCGAAAAGCCCTGTACTGGTCACTGTTAACAGTCACCGTGTTTGAAACAGGATCCTTCCCACATTCCATGTAAATCTCAGGAACGTCAATATAATCACCACATCTGGTGTGAACCAGCACCCCAACATCGGGTTCAGGTCGGTCACGCTCTGCCTGTTCAGGCTTCGGTTTCAGAGGTTGCTCCTCGTCCTCAGACATGTCCGACTCCTCAGCACCTACATCCAGATCTGGAAAAAAATCCAAGGATATGGGCTCCTTCGTTTCACCTCCAGTTCCTTGGGAACTTTGGGAGAGAGGACCGTGGCGAGACTTCTCTTCGCAGTGGATGGTCAAGGTGAGGTTAGGCCGAGGAACTGGGTGCAGCCAACGTCGCGTCGCATCGCGAAACTCAGCCCAAGTCGTCCAGGCTATTGTCGGACGTGGTGCATAGACCCGGTCCAGTGCTTTCGATGTAACCATCATTCGCCAGAACACGAAAGGGCCCAGTACCAAGAGTAATGCCTGACTCCACCAGTAGGCCGTGGTCAGTGATCCGTCCAGCAAATGATCGTGACAGTCATCTTGCCCGCCACGCTTCAGATCTCTGTACAGCAAGGAAACGGAAGAACCCAGGCAAAAGGCTACTCCAAACCAGCGCGAGCGATGAAAGCACCAGATGACCCCTGTGAAAGACATGAGCATCCATGAATATTGGATTCCGTCCCAAATATTGAACGCATAGAGGAGGGAATCCACAACGAATCCGGCAGCACCACAGGTGAAGAAAATGACTGTATCCCATACCTCAGCGAAAGAATGAAATCTAAACACTCGACCCTAAACCCTAAAACGGTCGTAGGGGTTGGAAATCCCGTGGACTGCAGACCTAGGAACTGAGTCACAAGAGGAAAGCTCGGCATGGAAATGCGCCAATTCGGCGTCGAGCCGAGTGTACCGACCGTGATGCTCCTGCCCCAAAGTTTAAGAAAGGCTCTATTTGGGGATGATTTGGATTTGGCGGAGGTTCTCAAGAGGTCATGCATCCACGATTCGTTCAGTTCATGAAACCCAGACACCAAGCAAATCCAGCCACGTCCGGGCCTCCTCGGTTTCCTTTAAAAGGTCTCTCTTTTCCTGCTCTCCCTGCCCAACCGAAATCCAAGAAGCAGTGCACCTACAAGGACAATGAGAACCCCACCTGAAGGGAGCTTGCCGGTACGAGCTTCGTAGGGGAAGGCACCTCATCGTTTGCCTGCAAACGTGAAAGCCCAACAAAGGAGAGCTGGCCATGGTTCCAAACGAACTCTGTTCGGACTTCTTGAAATACAGTACTCGTTCGGGAGTTTTGAAATGCCGTGAGCAAGAGTCACACGAGGACTTGGATCATTCTGTACTTTGCACCCTGCCAGGCTTTGCAAGCAGTTCAAGTTCGAACCTCGGCCTCCCATTGCCAGCTTGCCGGGTTCAGGGTTTTGGATTTAGAATGCAGCCACGGTGCGCTTGGCCGTACATAAGCGTCCCTTGATGATCCTGCCATCCTTGGCTCAGCAGCATGGCAGGTGCAGTCACTAAACGATGGCCTTGATCCAAAAGCTCCAAAACAGTGCTTCAAGCTGAATGACTGCTGTGCATGAACCAAAAACCAAAGACGGCGAACCCATGTCAGTCACGAGCTGAAGGATGATGCTAGCATCTGAAATAAAATTGACCAATCTGCAAACCTGCCCGACCCATTCAGCAACTGAGGCTCCGCAAAAACGAGATCCTCTGTCGGTGAACACAATGCCCTCGAAACTAGCGCCTGGATTCGGACACGCAAGCCTGAACCACATCCGTTTTCGTACCCTTTATCCAACCCACCATGGTCACCATGATTTGATGAACTTATAGAAAAGCTCGAACACATACCGTACATTTACCACAACATTCTTCGCCACAAAAAAATCGCATTGCCATCTGCCTGAGAGCATCATGTTTTCGAGAATCAAGCCACTGCAAACTATTTAGCAAGAAAGCTTCTGTACGAGGTCACTCATCGCGGCTTTTCCCCAGGCGTGGCAACAGAACAACCACAACTCCGATGTCGCACGTTGTCAAAAACTACAATGAAGCATTGGTCAAGTGTAATTCAACGGACGTTGACCAAATTGCATGTACTAGTTTTGAGTTGCAAATGCTGAGGAAACTGAAGTAAAAGGAAAACTTCCAAATCCATTGACAAGAACCGCAAACACCTCGGATGCGGCGATGAAGCTGCATGCGACATGGGACCTATTTCGCCCAAGACCGATGACGACACTGTCGTAGCTTGACTTTGCCGCTATCGAACCACACAGTAGCTGATCTTACGTGCATCCTGCTGATAAGCTGATGGAATTCCGACTGGGGGTAGAGTACCTTGGTGGCATCGCAAAGGAAACAGGTGAACAGCTCGGACCACGAATTTGTGGACATCTTCGGATTATGGACTCCTCAATGGCGAGAACAAGATCGCCAGCTTCGTCGTTGCGGTAAAGTTTTTTGGCCGTCGCGGCTTGTGCGCTCCCTGCAAGTGAATGTCTCGCCAGTGGCTTTTTGCCACGCATACTGTAGTCAATCTTAAGTTTTCATTGGGTGGCTAATTGGAAACATGACAGATCCAAGATAAAACAATTTTGAATGTGAATTGTTTTGAAGGTTCTCGTACAAGCACCACTCACAAAAACATAATTTGTCAAAAACAACATGCATCGAGCCCAACTTTAACAGTGCCTTGGATTGAAGCAAACAGGGGAGGCCCCTTGTGGTGCAC